CCCCGTATGGGGCTCTCTTCTCCCTCTCCCTCTGTGCTCTTTCTCTTGCACTCTCTCAAATAAATTAATAAAATCTTAAAAAAAAAAAAAAGAAAGAAAAAATTTGATACCAGGTTGACCTGTTTAGATTTTGACACAGCTAGTGATTATAGTACTCATTTGAGCATTATTTGTACCATATTTTTTTTTTTAAGATTTTATTTATTTATTTGACAGAGAGAGAGAGACAGCGAGAGCAGGAACACAAGCAGGGGGAGTGGGAGAGGGAGAAGCAGGCTTCCCGCTGAGCAGGTACAGGCGCCCCTGCACCATAATTTTTTAAAAACGGTTTTATTGAGACATAAAACAAACATAAACTGCACATTTAAAAGTGTACAGTTAGAGAAGTTTTGACATACGTGTACACCCATGAAACCATCACCACCATCGAGATAGTGAACATAACAGGATTCTTGGGTGGCTCAGTCGGTTAAGCATCTGACTTTTGATTCCAGCTCAGGCCTTTCTCTCAGGGTCGTGAGTTCAAGCCCCACATTGGGCTCCACGCAGGGTGCGGAGCCTGCTTAAAAAAAGAGAGAGAGGAGCGCCTGAGTGGCTCAGTTGGTAAGCTTCTGCCTTCGGCTCAGGTCATGATCCCAGGGTTCTGGGATCGAGCCCCGCATCGGGCTCCTTGCTCCGCGGGAAGCCTGCTTCTCTCTCTCCCGCTCCCCCTACTTGTGTTCCCTCTCTTGCTGTGTCTCTCTCTGTCAAATAAATAAATCAAATCTCTTAAAAAAAAGAGAGAGAGAGTGAATGTACCTGTCACTGCCTAAAAGTTTTCTCATGCCCTTTTGATACCATAGTACTTTTAGGTACCAAAATAGCAGTATGTTTGTGGGTGTAAAACCCTTGTTTTAGACTTTCATGGGCAATTTGCTTAGATTTCTGGATCTCTCTTCAATCCCTTTCCCCGGTGTACCCTCCCAAGCCTGACACCCTTACCCCAAACCCTCCCAGCTGTCATCACCACTTGCCTCCTGAACCTCCCACCAAACCCTCTAGCTCCGTCCCACAGGGGCAGTGGCTACTCTGTGAGCTCATGTAGCCCTGAGGGTGCCTTGAGGAGGGTTCTGGGTAGGAAGGAGGCAGCAAAGTTAGGGGAAGCCAGACTCTGGGAGATGTAATGTCTTTATGGAGGCTAGGTTTGATCTAGTTCCACATTACATGAATTTGAAAGGTTTTAAATAGAATACTGATGTTATTAAAAATGGCATTTTGATATTACTTGAGAACAACACTACAATATCAGTATTGTCATTTTGATGTAATACCAGCAAAAGTGGATCTCATGAATAAGGTACCTTTGATCGAGGTGCTTATATAGTTAGCCCAGAATAAAAAACTGGGAATGAGACATTGTAATCCACACAAGGATCTGAATGTTTAGAGTAGAACTTTCTGTGGTTGTCCTGGTCTTGCTTCTATTTCAAAAATCCCTAAAATATGCCACTTTCCAAATGGGTATATTTGGGAAGGAGGTACGTGTAATGTAAACTTAAAATTTCAACAGAAATATGTTACGGCTACAGTTGTTCTGAGGGCTTTTTGGTTTTGTTTGTTTATTAATTAATTCTAATGGAACGAGATAATACTGGCCCAAGCTCCCTTTTGAAATGTTACACTTAAATGTAGGGGGTACACCTAACACTTAAAGTTTCTAATAATTTTTAGTATTAACTTTAGCATTTTTCTGACATTTCTAATTAGCTTTAAGAAAATTAATTGAGGGGCACCTGGGTGGCTCAGTCAGTTAAGCATCTGCCTGTGGCTCAGGTCATGATCCCGGGGTCCTGGGGTTGACCCCCATGTCGGGCTCTCTGTTCAGCAGGGAGTCTGTCTCTCCCTCTGTGATCTCTCTCACTTTCGCTCTCTCTCAAATAAATAAATAAATAAATAAAATCTTAAAAAAAAAAAAGGAAGCTAAATTGATATAATACTCAGGAATGAAAACCTGACAAAAACTATCTGAATAAAAGATAAACAATGGTGCTAATTCCCATTTTTAAAAATGGACAAAACCTTTAAAAAGATACACTTATCTGTATTTTTTTTCCTCTCAGAGATGTGATCTCATAATTGCATGAAATTGCCTCTGAGATATCAGATGTCCCGAACCTCTGTCCTTTGTGCTCCTCTGGAGGGACGTTAAAATTCTTCATGCTTTTCCGACATGAAAGGCTCCTCAGTAAAGCTGACAAACTGGATGTTCCGGAACTGCACAATCCGGAGCGGATTCCAAGATGGCTGAGACCAGGACAGATGGGTCATCAGATACAGAAAGAGAGGTCGAGGGAGGGGCGCAGAAGTGGCTAAATCGGGGCATCTGAGCCACGTAAGCATAAGTTTTTTTTTTTTTTTAAAGATTTTATTTATTTATTTGAGACAGAGAGAATGAGAGACAGAGAGCATGAGAGGGAGGAGGGTCAGAGGGAGAAGCAGACTCCCTGCCAAGCAGGGAGCCTGATGCGGGACTCGATCCCGGGACTCCAGGATCATGACCTGAGCCGAAGGCAGTCGCTTAAACAACTGAGCCACCCAGGCGCCCCAAGCATAAGTTTTGAAAGGACCATGTATAATATAGTGCTCTAAAGGTGAGAAAACAGAAGTTAAAAAAATGTAATTGGGCCTTCCTGTTCTCCTTCATGTGCCTCTCCACTTCCTTCCCTCTCCCCTCCCCCTCCCCCCCTTCTGCTTCCCTTCTCCTCCTGTTCCTTTCCTCAGCAATTCTGCCCTAAAGTCCCGAAGGGTAACAGGGAAGGCCTCCGTGCGTGTGGCAGATGCTGCTGGGCAGGCAGGCCAGGCAGGCCAGGCAGGCACGAGGAGGGCGTCCACGTGGGGAAGGGGTGGCAGAGCTGGATTCCACACAGGGGCTCGATCAAAGAAGTGAGTATACTTGGAAGAATGGGAGCTGGGCCTCTCCCTGTTGGAGAAAGGAGTTACAAATACAGAAAGGGAGAAAACCAGAATGAACCCTGTGGTTTGGGGTCGGAGCTTAAGGTGTTGGTATAAACTCAGGGATTTCAATAAAAATGTAGAAATAACTGTGTGTCTGTGTACGTGTATTTCTAGCATGGTCTGTGAGGAGGGCCCTGGAGCAGCAAGAGCTCAATAGCAGTGAGCACATCTGTGCCCAGATCTTGGTTTCTAAATACCATTTGCCACGAGAAGCCCCTTGGAGAAGTCGCTGACGCCAGGGCCGACACAGAGAATGTAGAAGATTAACCTGGAACATACATCTGTGCCAGAAAAAAATGGGAATGCTCGGAGGGTGATTGGAACGTGCGAAAAGGACACAGAAGTCAGCCTGTGGGGGTTGGCTACCTATAGGGGCTACCAAATATAGGACGATGTGGGCATCAGTGAAAAGATGGTGACAGATTATAACCCAGTGAATAAAGTAGGAAATCATGAGTCCATACTGAATCAAGAGTCTGATGAGGAGTGGGATGTTTTTCAGTACCTCTCTCAAAATACACATTAATTACAGAGGGCAAAAGAATCACTTCATGGTGAAGAAGTCTAGCAGATGCCACCTAGTCAGATGATTGGTAATGAGAGAGGTCGAAATCCTGCACTTATGCGAGGAGGCAGTGAGAACGTACCACCACCTCTGTTCCTGCTACAAATGTGCACTGAAATCCAGTCGTGAGGAAGCCTCAGACAAATGACAACGGAGGGACACTTTCCAAAGCAACTGTCCTAGTCTCTCCAAAAGTGGCCTGATCACCAGGGTCAAGGAAAGGCAATGTTGACCATGAACTGGATCTTTTCTCCATGAAGGCCATTCTTTGGACGACTGGCAAAACTTGAGTGGGGTCCAAGGATTCGGGGGTATGAATGAGTCACTGCCAATCTCCTGATGCTGACAGTCGTGTGTCAGTTACATAGGAGAATGTCCTTGTTTGCAGAGAATGCACACGGAAGTGTTGGGTTTGATGGACCATCAGGTTGGCTCAGGGGGGAAAAAAAAGTTCTTTGTACCATAATTGCAGCTTTTCTGTAGGTTGGTGGTGGTTAGTAAAAATAGAACAAAAAATTAAATAAGCCATTGTATTCTTTTTTCTTTTTTTTTTAGACACATGTCTCAAAGGGAATCATTCACCACCTCACAGAAGTCAGCCTTGAAGGAGACAGACAGTAAGATGGAGACCTCTCCTGGTCTGGATGAATCATTCCCTCCATTTCCCCTTTCCTGACTCAAAGTCCAGGCAGAAACCCTCAGCAGTTTTTGCCTGACCCTCGACTTTGCCCATCACAGCATTTATCATACTATAATTGTAACTGCCCGTTTACCTATAAATTCCATGAGATTAGAGACATTGACTTGTTCACCACGGTATTCCTTAAGATCAGCACAATTTATCGGTTGTCTAGGAAAACCATATTTTTTCTCCTCTCAATACTTCACTTCTCACCCCAGATGTGGGGAGGGGGGTTCCTACACCAAATAATTCTTCAACCCTCCTGCAGACAACAACTGGGTGTCCTACTATTTCTGACCCCATCCACATGGAGGGACCGTCAGATCCCACGGGGGAAGGGCTCAGTCCCTCAACTCTGTGCCCACGTCACAGGCCAACTGCCTGTCCAGGTTCTCCCCTGTGCTTCTGACAGACTGGCCATAAAGCAGGCTTCCCACAACCTCCTCCTGAGGTTCCATCATACACTAGAACAGCCTACAGAACCAGGAGAACACTCACTTGCCAGTTTATAATATAAGAGAGGAAACGGATGAATAGCCAAATGAAGAGGTGTTTAAGGCAAGGTGCAAGAAGGGTCCCAAGCACAGCGGCTTGTGTCCCAGGGAGCTGTCACCCTCCCGACATGTGGATGTGTTCTCCACTCCGGACACTTTCCAAACCCTGTACTTTTGGGAATTTTAGGGAGGCTTCATCACATAGGCATGATCATCCATTAACTCCATTTCTAGCCCTTCTCTCAAGAATGAGGGCAGGGTGGGGGGGCAATGCTGAAAGTTCCAAGCTTCTAATCATGGCTTGGACTTTTTGGTGATGAGTCCCCATCCAGGAGCCATCCAGGAGTGTCCTCGTCAGAATGGAAGACACTCCAATCACCCTGGAAATTACATGGGTTTTAGGAACTCTGTGTCAGGAACTAGGGTCAAAGACCAAATATTAGAACGGAGGACAGAGACACACATATATATTTCTTATTATATCACACAGATATTCTTTTCTTGCTGAATGAAGGGAAGAATAGTTCATACTGACCCCAAAGAAGTCTTTCCTGTAGTTTTAGAATATTTTTCATTCGATAATTAAAAGGCAAAGACCAAGTGATCCAGCTGAATGATTAGCACGCTCCTCAGTGCCGACGGGGCCCTTTGCCTTCCATCGTGGAACTATTACGAAGTTTTACTCTTGAGTCTTTGCAGAGGAGACAGGGCAAAGCCTGGTGTGAGTCACTGCCGTAGATCAACATGACCTTGTTCTCTGAAGGGCTCACCGTGGGGAAACCTAAAAAGGAAGAAAACCAGAGCACTGCCAAAGCTCCTGAGCAGAGTCAAGGGCTCCGGCCCAGACACCAAGTTCCAGACTCTTAATAAATAAGGTTATCAAGGCTGCAAGCCCTCTCTCCCCACCCAAACCGCTGAATCGTGGCGGGCCTTCGGAAACATGCAGAATGAGTCCCTTTAAAGAAAACTCCGCTGAATAACCCAAAGACAGACATTTCTGCCTAAACCTTGAAAATGCCTACAAGCTGTCCACAGAGCCAATCTCCCTGCATTTTCTCACTGCAAATCCAGGCAGCCTGGCCAGCCCTCGGGGACAGGGCTGACTTTCTCTTCTGCTCAGCCTCTCCTCCAGAAAGAGTTTGGTGTGAAGAGGAAGAGAAGCCTGTGTTCTCCCCACAATAGGGGCAATTATTCGGAGCTGCTGCGAACCCGTGAAGTGTTTACCTTTTGTTTCACAACGTCACTGGAAGTGAGGGGCCCGGTAATTCTGATTCTCATATTGCCCTCTGGTCAAGAATAAAGGCGGTGGGTTGTTTTTCCAGTTGCTCGAAAAGGAAACAGTAACAGGTAGGAAGTTAGCACTTGGCCAAAGACTCTGGGTCACGACTTTGGGTTTCAACCCAATTCTCCGGCTATTGCATGAAACGCTTCCCAGGAATGACATCGAAATGAGCCTTGGTCCCCCTTTCCTACTTTCCATGTGCCTCGGGGACCTTGAGAGAGTAGGGCTGAGCACTTTAACCATCTTTCTGTTTGGTCGACTGGATGCCATCCGTAGTCAAGATAAGAAGCTGGACAGAGCTTGGGCTCTGAGGGTTTCAGGGTGCTCGGCCCTCCGTGGCAGGTCCGTCCCTCCAGGCCAGACTGCCACCCCGCTTTGGCTTCTGGGAAGGTCAGGGTTTGCTTCAAGATGCATTCCCAGAACGGTCCAGCCAGAATGGGCATCAGAGATGGGGATGCTGGCACCAGCTTGGACAGTGGAAAGCAGAGCGAAACCTCTCTGGGCTAACTCTTCTCACACGCAGGTTCAAGTCAGTAGAGCAGAATACCTTTGAGGGCATGCCCAGCTTTTTCATTGCCTTGAAAAACAGTGAAAGTTATTTCAACAAAATTAAAAATTCATAATTCAGTCTCAAACGAGATTGTCATAACTAGAAACCCATGGTTTTCAATACTTTGATACATTTCTGGATTCAAATCCCAGTCTCTAAGCTTGGGAGGTTGGGGTTCAGATCCTGTCTCTCCCACTTACTGGTTGTGCAACCCGGGGGAAACTGCTTAACTTCTCTGTGCCTGTTTCCATGTCTATAAAATGGGGGAGGGGGAATGACAAGATGAGTTTCATAGGTTTTTGTGAGGATGAAAAACATTAAGTCCACATTAAGTAGTCCCCGTCGCATAGTGAACACCCAGTAAACGCTGACACTCATCATTATTGTATTGCTATGACGTTTGAAGAATTTTCTATTTGAGAAAGAACGTGAATATGTAAAGCAGAATGAAACTAAAATGAACAGATCTGCACACGGAGCAAAGACTCGCACTTTCAAACCTCAAATAACTTCTTGTGAATATTAAAGTTCGATCTGGTTTTTCAGGCAACAGGGAATTCACTTCTGCCTTCCTAGTGATGTGCATCTTGTATTAAGTCTCTTTCCATTGAAAATGAATTCAAACTAGCTTAGGCAAGAAGAGGTACAGTGTGGGTGGGCAGAGAAGTACATTGCAGGAAAGGCAAGGACCGAGTTGGAATCAGGAGGTAGATGAGACCCATGTCCCCTGAATGTCCCCTCGCTCTCATCTACCGAAACACTGCAACTGGCATTACTCAGGCTGCCTGGATTTGAAGTCGCTTAAAGGTCATCCTTCTGCAGGAACCCGTCCCCCCCCAACATGGGGTAGCCCTGGCCACCGGCAGCACCCAGCACCATACCTTAATGACTCGGAGAGCATGAAGGAAGATGCGTTTCCTCTCTCTCGGATCCAGCTTGAAAACTCTTGAGAAGAACTCTGACTGGTGTACCTTTCGTCATCTGGAACCTACACCAAATCCCAGAGCTGGTCCTTGGGGGTGAGGTGGGTGGGCAGAGGAGGAAGATAGATTGATCAAAATAATGGCAGAGAGGGAGGCAAACAAAACCATTGGATGTTCAGCACCACATCCCCTGATTCTCAGAGGAAACCAGGCCCACTTTTATAAGTGCTTTATGAATCAGAGTGCCTATGGGTTAAACGGACTTTCCAGCTGGAAATCACAGTTGGAGTCTACAGCGTGGATTCGGCTCTCCCAGGGACACCACCTTTCATGACCATCCATCCACTCATCATTCACGGAGAGGCCCGCAGGAGGTAATGTTTTGTTCATGCAACAACAGGCTGCTTCCCGCCCATGGGGCCCCGGACAAGCCCTGGGCAGAAGGAACACGGACCAAGTCCTGCCCTCCCTGGGGGTGAGTCTCGAGAGCCAGGGAGCCGCTAACCCGGTCCCCGGGGAATGACTTCATTACTAAACTGGGAATTGATGAAAACAAGCGAGTGTTTCAGATCCACTTCAAACTGCCCGAGTTCCGTGGACTTCATGTTTATATAATTTCCACTATCTAAATCAGTTATAAAGTTGGGTGAAAATTTTTTTTTTTTTTTGTCTCGCTCTGCACTTTGACTTCCTCACACTTTTAAGTTCATTTCTGCTCCCTCAGGTCCGTCTGGACGTTCTAAGAAAGACCTTTTTTATAGATTTTGCTCAACGCTGCAAAGGAACGGTTTGTTTTCATTCATCATGTCTAACACAGGCCCACCTCCAGGTCTCTGGGGAACCATATGAGGCATTTTCCAGAGTTATTTCCAGAATAAACAAGGCTTGAAAGGCAGGCCTTGCTTAACCACCGTCCACAGCTTTGCTTTGCCACTCCAGGCGGGAGGGGAAACTCCTTGACCTTCTGTAAATATTTCAACGCAACCAATTCCCTAAGGAATTAGAATTCGTATTTTGTTATTGTTGTTGTTAACTCTGAAACATCCACAGAAAAGACACCTTTTTTTATCGCTATGTGCACATTATTGATGGTGAAAAGTTTCAACGCTGTATATTTACGGCCATTCACAAAAGAGTTTCACATTCCAAGACCCTCAGGCAAAAAGGGCACAAAAGAAGAGTCTAAATGATCAGAGTGTAGGGGTTGCTTTTATGCAGCCATCCACATGGAAAGAACTCGGACACACTGCGTGTGATTGAGAAATATTTCTGGCCACCGGCGTGGCCTGCTGCAGTGGAAACACCCAATACCCTGAAAATGGAACTGATTAATGACAGACAAAGATGGCAAGAAGGCAGAATGTCATGTATTAAAAATATGTAAACTGCCCAGTTTGTCACGGGCACATATACCTGGGGAGAAGCTGTGGCTTGTGTTCAAAAAGAGATTCCTAAACCTTCCACTGATCCCCAAGCCATCCACAAGTTTGAGGAGGGGGAATCCTTAAATGGATCATCACAGGATAAGGGAAGCCCGAGGCATCTGGGGACTAGAAGCAGTTCTGTGTGTGTCAGAATGTGGGAACTTGAACTCACCTTTGCCTTCCACCCTCTTCAGTTTAGGGAACATTCGATGAACCTCGAGTTGTGCAGACCATGTGTCAATGGCGTCAGCCTCCTGGTGTCGGTAAGCCTGTGGGTGTGGAGGGGACCTTGGTGAGCTGGAGACGACACGTCTGCCCCAAAAGACAGCCCTGTTCACCTCCAGACACTTGCTGGCAATATATCATTTTGGCAGTCCCTTCTGATTTTTAAAGAGAAATCAGAAATCTCCAAGCTTTTAATATTGCCAACTCATTAAAATTTAAAAGGCTTTCAGTGCCAACACTGAAAGAGCACAAAGATGACCAACAGAGTTCTGATCTCATGACGACTTCTTAGTTACTTTTCCTGAAATCTCAAATACAAAGTTTCTTCAAAGAATGCTTTGGTAGCCAGCCTGTGTGTCAGCTGCTTTATCCCCATGGGGCCGGCACCAGAAGGGCACCTATGGACTAATGTGAACTACTCGGTCTTTTCCCCAGTTCCTGGCACGTATAGCTCCTAAAACCCTTGGAATTTCCTGAGTGATGGGAGTGTCTCGTTATTCATAATGAGTCCCCTTTGATCACACCTGAGTTTATGCTAATGAGGTGACAGGCTAGGGCCCCTACATGGCTTCTGATGGGCTGGTCCCCAGAAAGACCCAAGAGATTAGAAGGTTGGAACTTTCAGCCCCACCCACCAACCTCTGGGAAGAAGGAGGAGCTGTGGATTAAGCTCCATGAAAACCCTTGAACAAGTTGGTGAACACTTCGAGGGGCCAGAATAGTGTATCCGGAGAGGGCACAGAAGCTCCCAGCAACCCACCACACCCCCAGACTGTGCCCTATACCTTTCTTCCATCCAGCTTTTCCTGACTTGTGTCCCTTATACTTAACTGGTAAACGTAAGTGCCTCCCTATGAGTCCTGTGAGCCATGTTAGCAAATGATGGAACCTTAGCAGGGGGTCCTGGGAACCCCCTATCTATAGCCAGTCCATGAGAAGTACGGTGGCCCACAACTTGCGACCGCCATCTGGGTGGGGACAGGCTTGGACTGAGCGCCTACCAGCAGGATCCGCACTAACTCGAGGCAGTTAGTGTCTGAATTAAATTGAATTGTTGGACACCCAGTTCGTGTCAGAGAATCAGAGGATTGGTGGTTGGTATTGGAAAACACTCCAGAGCACCCAAATCTCAAGGTTTGAACTTGGGCTTTGTAAGTCAGTGCATGCAGCATCCGGTTTGAAGCTCCTAGGGTCATTTTCTGTTATACCAAAGCTTCAGCTTTTGTTTTGTTTTTTGTGGTTTTTTTTTGAAGTAATCGTCTTTGCTCACCCTAGCAAGTCATAGTGGCAGCAGGCATAAACATCCACCACGGCATAGGTGTCCACCTAGACGTGGTCTTCCTCTGGTCTTTGATTATTCTGTCTCTCTTCTGTCTCTAGCAGGTGGAGTCTGGAATCGTAGGACAACGGCTTGCTCAAGTAGATTTGTAGACGAGTAAGTAGCCTTGGGGAGAAGGACCTGATAACCAACAATCTCCTGCAATCAGGTAAGTCAGAAGGAGGCTGACTGTAATTCCATCACTAAAGAAAGGATGACATCACAGGAGAGCAAACGCCAAACATTTGGGCTACATGAAAAACATGAAGACACAGCTGTCCCTGGTCCCTGTCTGCACCTCCTGCCTTCCCTGGCTCACCTGCTGGGGCCACGCTGGCTTCAGTCAAGCTCTGGGATATGTTATACATCCTGAAAAATGAAGACTGCAACCCTGAATAACCTCAGTGCCGAGCAGTGGTCTAAAATGCATACCACTATTTATGGTTTCTGTGGGTTTTTTATTTTTAATTTTATATTTATTTATTTTTAAATGAATAGACCTTATTTTTTCAAGCAGCTTTTGGTTTATAGAAAAAATCGAGGGAAGGGTGCAGAGTTTCCATATACCCCCTTGGCCCTTCCAATTTACCCTCTTATTAACGTCTCTGATAGTGTATATTTGTTAACGGTTGATGAGTCAATGAGACACATTGTTTTTAGCTAGAGCCCATTTGCATTAGGGGGTCACTTCTGGTGTTGTACATACTATGGGTACATAATGACACGCACCTCCCATCCTGGTATCACGCAGAGCAGTTTCTGTGCCCTAAAAATCCTCGCACTCATCCCTCCCACTCCCAGGGCCCTGGCAGCCATTGAACTTTGTACTGTCTCCGTAGTTTTGCCTTTTCCAGAATATCATGGAGTTAGAAGTCATCTGGTATGAACACTCTTCAGATTGGCCTCTTCCACTTAGTAATATGCATTTAAGATTCCTCCATGTCTTTTGCTGGTTTGATGGCTCATTTCTTTTTATCACTGAAGAAAATTCCATTGTATAGGTATACCAGTTTGCTTATTCATTTGCCTACTGAGGAACATCTTGGTTGCTTCCAAGTTCTGGCAATTACGATGGAGCTTCTGTGAGCATCCATGTGCAGGATTTTGTGTGGATGTAAGTTTTCAGCTCATTTGGGTAAATGCCAGGGAGTGCGATTGCTGCATCATGTGTGAAGAGTATGTTTAGTTTGGGAAAAAACTACCAAAGTGTCATCCAGAGGGGCTGTACCATTTTACATCCTTTCTGTGCACTTTTAAACCATAATATCTTTTGGATTTATAAAATCTACACATATCTATCTTTCTCTGGGGTTCTTTTTTTTTTTTTTTTTTTCATATTCTAAGATAGGGGACAGACTGCCTTACTTCAAAACGTCAGTCATCACGTAGAATTCATGACATCCCTCCGACTCATCATCCTTATGGACCATGCCATCTGAGCTCATCTCCTGTTTCGGAAGTAGGGACTGTGAAGGGATTTCCTCCCTGGCACCACCAGATCCACAAACCCAGTCCCATCAAGTTTCTCTCTCCTCCCTGCCATGCCCCTCTTCCTATGTGTCCAAGTAGACGTGCTCTTCCCCTGGTCTTTGATTTTTCCATCTCTCTTCTGCCTTTTCCTCAAACTCTTCCTCTCTGTGGGATCATACTTGTCACGGCTCCAACCTTCTCCACTGTCTCCCATCCTCCAACAAGAAGATGAGAAGCAAATAACCCAACAAGATGTCCTGGGTCCTACACCCTCCTTCATGACCTTCTCCCTCTGCCCCCTTTCATAGACAAGTCCTCAAGAGTGGTCTACACATCTCTCCTTGACAACTTCTTCTTAATAATTTTTAAATCTCTCCTCTCTAAAGTCAAAATGCCTCCTTACCTCCTTACCTCCAACCCAAGCTTCTATTCCATACAGTACCATGGATGAGTTTTTAACAAACATCCAATGACAGAAAATCCCTCTTATGCAGATTGTTTCAGAATTAAGAAAGAGAGAGAGAGAGAAAGAAAGGAAGAAAGAGAGAATGAGAGAAGAAAAGAAAGGAACAAGAAAAATTGAGGAAAAAATTGCCCAACTGGTTTAATGAGAAAAATATAACTCTGATTCCCAAACTGCAGACTGGATGAGAACATTAAAAGAAAAAACAAAAAGGCCAATTTCACTTATAAACAGAGATGAAAAATTTGGCAGTGGAGATGGATATGGGAATTATAGAAGAAGATTCACTAGCAGTCAGATAAATAGAGAATATTTAAATTTTATTTAATTTTAAATAATTTTAATAATAGTTACATACTAAAACACCATGTTCCATAAATGTACGGGTGGATTAACATCAGAAAATCCACAAATGTAACTCACTACATTGATGATTTAATAGAGAAAAATTATATTATTTTAATAGATACAGAGAAAACATCTGATAACGGTCAACATTTATTTAGTGAGGCTGTACACCAAGAATATAAAACAAATATTATGCTTAATAAAGAAATTTTAGATATAAAAAAAGATCAATTGTAAGAACAATTGTGGGGGCACCTGGGTGGCTCAGTCGTTAAGCGTCTGCCTTCGGCTCAGGTCACGATCCCAGGGTCCTGGGATCGAGTCCCGCATCGGGCTCCCTGCTCGGCGGGGAGCCTGCGTCTCCCTCTCCCACTCCCCCTGCTTGTGTTCCCTCTCTCGCTGTGTCTCTCTCTGTCAAATAAATAAAAATAAAATCTTTAAAAAAAAAAAGAACAATTGTGAATTACAGTTTTAAAGGAAAAATTGTAAAATATATAAAACACACACACACCCATAGTCTCACTGTAGTTGTCAGAATTCTAAGATGCAATCGCCCCACCAAAGCTCCAGGCCCTTGGTGCAGTAACACCTTCTTTCCCTTATTCAATTAAGCACTAATCTAGGTGCTGCCCTGCAGTGGATTTGCAGATTAATTAAGGTACCAAATCAGCCTAAAGTAGGGAAAGTATTGAGTCGGACCTGATCTCATCACACAAGCCCCTCCCCCACCCCCTTTTTAAAGTGTTTTCTCTTTACCCAACATGGAGTGGGTAGAGTCGTGTGCTCTGTCCACTAAGCCAGCCAGGCACCCCCCACGTGTAAGCCCTCTGAAAGCAGAGTTTTCTCTGACTGGTCACAGAAAAAGAATCAGAGATTCCAGGCAAGAGGGGAATTCAGCACTCGATTGCTGCCTTGAAGATAAAGTAGACCCTGTTGGAAGGAATGTGGGCAGCTTCTATGTGCTGAGAACAGCCCCCAGCTGACAACCAGCAAGGAAACAGGACCTCAGTCCTCCAACCCCAGAGCTGAATTTCACCAACAAGAATGAACTTAGGAGCACATTTTCCTGCTGAACCTCCAAACAAGAACTAAACCCAGTCCGCACATTAATTTCAGCCTTGTGCTATTCTGAACAGAAAACTCAGCCACACCATCCATGCCAGACTTCTGACCTACAGAACTGTGAGCTAATAAACAGGTGTTGTTTGAAACTGCTATGTTTGTGCTAATTTGTTACATAGCAATAGAAAACAATCCCTCCATCCACATTTTTTCCAGAGCATTTATGCATGCAGTGAATGTGCATATTTTCCTTTTACAAAATGAAATCTTATTGTATATGGTATTTGATAACCAGATAATTAAAGATTCAGTTTGCCAGTTTCCACCAAAACCAAAGAAAACACAAGCAATTTGTTGACATTTTCACTGGAATAACAGTGAACCAATAAATCAGTTAGAAGACAACTGACATGTTTAGGAGGTTATGGAAATAAGTCAGAGAGAGAAAGACAAATACTGTATGATATCTCTTATACGTGG